TGTAGGGAATAAATTATTTATTAGTTTTTCTTTGGGGATTTTTCCAATTTTGAGGGCATTTTCGTTGATTTTTCCAAGCGTGAGGCATTTCCACAGATTTCTTTTCAAAAATGAGGGCATTTCCTTTTTTGTCCAAATATGAGGGCAATCTGTAAATGACGAAGGGGTCTCCCTTTAAATAATAGTACAGATAAACCCCTTTTAGTTTTGGTGAGTTTTCCTGATGCAGTTTTACCCTGAGGGTGAAATATTTCTGACTCTTTTACCCTCAAATAGGCTCATTAATTTCAATCAAGGACACCTAGGATAAAAGAGTCAAAACATTAAATCCAGGGAGTCTACCTACAGCAATGAAAATAACCCTATGGGGATAACAAGTATAGAACAACAGTGCTGCAAAGTGTCTATGTGCAATTGAATAAATGTAATTTATTGTAGAAACCATGACCGTTAGTATTCCCTTCACTAACCATAAAGTACTAGTGTGCACCCCGTGCAAAGCACGACCTTCTTTTTTTTATTTATGCTACAGTAATTCTTTTTAATGCTACAGTAATTATTTGCAAAGGGCTACATTATTTTTTTAATGCCACAGTATCCTGGTTTATGCTATAGTAATTCACTGTAGCATTTCTGTAGCACGAATGGTGAATCTTTGGATCCTTCTATAAGCATAGAGGAGTAGATTAACATGGTCATAATGATTGGAACTAGTTCTTTAGAATTTATGCCTCTCCGAAGAATGACAATATTAAGCTTATTACTTTAATTTCTATGTGATAGAAAACTTTATTTTGGAACTAAATCTCACACGTCATATATATAAGTTTTAACACTGATACAAGAGAAAGATGAAGAAATTTAGCAACTTATGTCAAATACCTTCTCCAAAGGGTAAACAGTCTTATTGCAGACGGCACATTTTTCCTGGGTTCCAGAGAACATGGAGGAGACCTTGCTTGGTGCCCTTGACTGTAATATTTTCAGTGAAGTTTATCAGACTATGCATAAGCCAAGAGATTGCAAAAGTAAAAAAGAATAAATGAAAGAGAAAAAAGAAGGAAAAAGAAAAATGAATTGCAAGATGATATACCAGTTCCTTGTTCTCAGATTTGGGCGCTGAGCATTATCGAACAAGAGTTAGGCCATTGCGGGTGAATCCACGTACAATGAGCAAGGATTAATATAAAACAATGTACATACAGATATTTTCCTAAAATGATTTTGCATTAAGTAGCATTTACAATAAAGATTTAAGTTGGCTCACGAGTATGGAATTTCTTGGAGAAGCTGCCAGTCTCCTTGAAGAGCTGCTCAAAGTGAGGCTTGCAGTAGAGGACACCATCCATGGATGAGTAGCTGCACATCTGAGAACATACACGTAAGATCCATTGCTTATAGTTTCAGCATTCGTACTTATGGACAATTAAAATCTACAATTTTCTGCCGCTCCTTCGGTTGTGTCTCTCCTAAATTAATTTTAGTGTTCTTGGCGTTATAAATAGCTAAGTCCATTGGCTCCTCTATTAGTTTAGTTATATGGATTTAACAAATTTATATGATTGAAATCTGACCCCTATTTTGTCCACAAGTATAAGTAATCTAATCTGTAATATCTAAATACCATTGAAATATGCTAGAACGTATCTTAATGAATACAGATCAAAGCATCGCAACAAAAATAGAAATAGTTACACTGCACCAAAACTCTGAAGTTGTTACAATGGTTGAGGATTATACTTACATATCCTAACAACAGAAGCACCCTTACATGCTTCATATGGTATGATTACATGAAAACAGAACAAAAAGATGCATTTTAAATGTTGAAATGATAGTTAGGGAGTTAATACTTACAGTTAGATTCCCCTTGCAGTGACTGCATTTGAAGCAGGTTTTGTGATAGGGGACGCCATCAGCCGTCAACAGGTCGCAGATATGAACAGTCTTGTCGCACGCATTACACTTATCCTGAGTTCCGCTGAACGACATTGTGCCAAGGAAAAAATAAAAACGTTGAATTAAGGATCGAAACTGATTCGCCTTTTTTGTGCAGACTAAAGGCGACGTTAAGGAAGGAAAGAAGAGAAGTTTGAGGAGGTATATGAAGAGGGAAGTGGTGGAAAGGAGGAGATTTAAGACCCCTGAATTGCTGAGAGATGTGAGAATGAGAGGAGAAATAGGAGTAAGAAGCTCTCAACCGCCAATACTAAGTCAAGCCACTTAATCCTTGGGTCATGCTAATTATAGAGATCTGCAGGGTTTTTTTTTTAATGAAGGAATTATAACATTATTTTGTCACACTTAACTTTATAGTTTCAGTCAAGAAATTGAAAGGATCAAATCTGTGCAAAACATACCCGGTAATTGAGTGTCAAGAATGTATGTGCCCAGAAAACTAGTATCTTGTATGCATATGCCGAGAATTTCAATCGGCATTTAGTTATGCAAGTTTTCTTTTCATTAGAGGTGGAAAGTAATCAAATAATCAATGGATAGTCCATTGATTGTTAGTCTAACTGTTCAGTTATATTTGATTTGGTGGTTGTCAAGTATCAGCTTAAAATTTCACCATTTATAACTTGTATTATTACATGGATGTTGTTATGTTTTTGATTTACTTATATTTTTCACTTGGGTTCTATACTAATTATGGAAGAATTAAAAAAGTCTCAAGTCAATTTTTTAACAATATATAAAATTACATATTTACATCATAATTTTAAAAAATCAATGTTATTTACAAAAATCAAATCAGATTATCTACAAAAACAAACTCAAGAGAATGATTCATCAGTCCATATATGTCAGGATTTTGCCCCTAAGCTGGTGTCAGTTTTGGGGAGAAAATCTTGAGGCAGGAGTTATATTGTATGCTATGCAGATTACTCCTTGTGAAGACAAATGGTAAGTTTTTCTTTTTCTTTTTCCTAATTTTTTTAAAGCAAAGAAAGCCTCTTACATTGTACAATAGGGTTAAGAGCATCCAGCCATCCAGTAGTCTCACCACAAAATCCAGCTAAAAAAGGCATGGAAATCTTTACGGAGTGATGACACTTGATTTGCCATAATTTCAACTGGATTTGCACAAATAAATCAAAATTAAAACATAAACTCACCTGGATACATCAACACATATCAAAAGCATTGATTACATACCAGAAACTCAATTTTGGAGCACAAGAGATCATCATTAAAAATTATTTATGAAATCACTTAAAATACTAAAAGCACATATACAACACAACTTTCAGTGTATACATTCATCCAATAACCATTATACATATATGAACGATAAACAAACCAATTAAGGAGGTAACACAACTTTCTGGCACAAGATGAGATCTGATAAAGTCTTCCCATGGCGATCAATTCTCCTCGAACAATTCACACCTCCATCAAGAACATTCCTCACTACAACATTTAATGATTGAATTCCTCTCACCTCATATATCTCCACTTTCACCTGCTCAAGCTTATTATTTTTTTGCTTAATTGCTTCAGGATCAGGGAACAATGAGGTATCGAGCAGGACAGAGACAACATTTTTTACCCAAATAGGTGTTATTACCCTTTTTAGCCTCTCAATATCTTGAGGGAAATGGGGGACGAGGGAGAAATTTAGGTCATTTCCTTTGTCTCCAGCTCGGCTATGAGCAACTTCATAGAGTGGAACCTTCTTGCCTGAAGGAGCAGCAGTTATAGGCACTGAATATAGCGCGGTATTTGTGTGATTATCTTTTACAGTAGTCTGTGTTTCTTCATTTTGTCCTCTGACAGTTGGGGTATTGCAGGGAGATGTGGATTTTGTTTGCTCAATTTCTGTAATCCAGAAAATCCGTTCACGTTCAACCTATGCAATTATCACAACATAATCATGAAATATGAATAGCTAGAGGTATCAAATATAGCCATGGAGTTTCTGAAAATAAGTGAATAGTTCAAAGAAATATGCAGTCACAGACAAAAAAAAATTAGATGATTTGGTTCTTCAAGCCAGCAGTCTGCGCAAAAAATCCACAGAAATCCTCGAAAGGTTTGACCAACTAAAGAGGAAGAACATACAGCCATCATATGATTAGCCAAAACTTTTGTGATGATGGGATAGTCAAACAATATATCCATGGAGTTTGAAGAGACCCCGTTTTCTTTGTGCACTTCATGTTCATTGAAATGCCAGATGGCCACATTTCTTGCAGATTTAGCAATATATTTTTAACTTGGCATCTATTCCTCTGCTTGATTATAGAATCTTATGACATAGTAATGGGTCGTTATTCAGTATTACAGATTGATAGGCATCTCTACCTTTATTTCCTTACCTATTCGTCTTCCTCCTCTTTTCTTTCTTTAGTTCTTTTCCTTTTTAGGGAAAAATAAAAAGCCAATAGGCCACTCAAATAGGTCTAGTGAACTTATCACTAAAAAATAGAAGATAAAGTGCTTAAAACTTGTTTATAAAACATCACAACACCCAATACTTCCATTAGTTTATACTTATCAATAAATTCAGAAGCCAAATAGATCGATCTTAGCTTCGACATTGGTCTAGTAATTGTATCTAAAAACTTAGATCATTGCCACATATGACACAAACTAAACAAATGTGGTATTCCAGACAAACAGCTGAATAGTGGTTCAACTTACATTGCAACTTCAAACATGTTCAATTAGCAAATAGCAAATTACATAGGTGATTGAACAGCATAAAGTAAAAATGTTAAAAGAAAGAACCCTTTTTTGGGAAAAGATAAAAAGTAATATCTTGCAAGAAAGGATTTTGACAACAAAATCAAGTGCGTGCCAGTAGACTCTGGAAGCTGATACCATATCAGCCAATCGATTAAGTGAAACAGCTTCAATATTTACTACAAAGTAAAGTGGATTTGAATGTTTGGCATGTGTTTGCTTTATCCAATCATAGCATTCTCCACCCGGACGTTTCCAGTTAAGTTTAGGTACATAATTAACAAAGTCATTACACTTGCAAAAAAAAAATCCATACCAGTTCCTTTTTAAGAAGTATCTCCTTCTTGCAACCAGTGCTGCATTTCAGAAAAGAGCAGATTGAAAAGCTTTGAAAAAGAAAATATTCCATAATAATGAACTGCACCTTTTAATAGCGCTTAATATACAAATCCCTCTGGAATGGCCCAGTATTCCATATCGCAAAGTTTCAGAACTGAAATTATATAAAGAAATGAAAACAGAAGAAAAACTTATATGAACCTGATACCACCACCGGCAGCTGGCCCATTCGTGTAGAGTGCAATAAATTCTTCAACAAAGTGAGCAGCATGCTCCTCTAACTCAAACAAACCATCCATGCGAAGCCTAACATCCATTACTTGTTCTTCACATGAGATTCCCTCATTAGTACTGCCTGCTTTTAGGCTGTCATGTCCAATAATATATGAAACAATACAATCTCTGACTTCAGGGCATGTTTCATTCATCCAAGATCTAACCTACACACAAGATGGAGTCCGTCATGCAATTAGTGTTAGAAGAGACCTATATGAATCACTGGAAAATGCATTCTGATGTTACGAATAACTAAACTTAGCTTTTCCAACCTTTTATTGAATAAGTAATAAATGATGATGAAATACCATTGTCTTGAAAACTGGAGTTTTTGTACATAAACTTCTTAAAATAGTTTTTAAAATATAGATCAGAAGTTGCAACTAAAAGTGCAGAAATGCATGAAACTGCTAACCAGGAAATCTGCCGCTTGAGCTCGTCTTAAACATCCATATCCTCCATATGATATTTCTCCCCAGCCTTTCCATCCACAAGTCTGCAAGGCCCCTAGTTTATGTTGTCCAAATATGAGAATAGGAAATTATGTTGTGATACGCCTATTAGATAGTTTCATAGTAATATATTTTGAAGCTGAAATAATTATAAATGTTAAGTCATGGTACAAATAAGATTTACATATTAGAACAACGAACATTCTCTTGTCCTCAGTGGTAGAGTAACAAAACTTTGCCTCGAACAAGATAAGGCACATTTATCTAATCTTACAGATTGTGCTTTGTAGTAAGGGGCCAAAGACTAACATGCAACAAATGCAGAATGATTGGCTATCTAAAGTGTGAAGGTGACATATAATCTCTGTCAGCATTATTACTACTTGTTGACATGAATATGCAAATCAGTTATTCCGACATCAATTTGAGAGTTGTTGGTGTAAAGGCATCAGTGGGTAGATTTTCATTTGTGGAAGAATGGAAAACGGCAAACATTGGCTAGAAAGTAACAACAGAACCCCCAGTCAACATAGGAAGGTAAGAAGTGTTATGATTCATCTATTAAATTTTGACTTATTTATTTTGAAAATCACTTATATTACCCAAGCTATTATGTTGTTAATAATTATAACATGAACTAACAGAAAACTAAAACTTTATAATTGGATATTCACAACCATATCCTAAATTTCCAAAATTTGTCATATCTTATCGTGTCATATCTGTATCCTGTACCTTTGAAACCTGTTAAGCAAAGTTAGGATCATATGACTTGGGCTTAGCTCCAGGACAGGAAAAAAAAGTAAAAAAATGATATAAGGTATTATCTCCCGTAAATTTGGATAGACATTATTCTGTAGGCTTCAACACATGTTTAAAGAAGCAATGAAGTGGGTGTATTAAAGGGTTCAGATACTATAATATTTTTGTAGCTAAATTGAGCACCAAAGCTGGAAAATAAAGCAGTATTGTGTAACACTAGATAGGGGAAGAAACCTTACAATTCCACCATTAAATAATTTGCACTCTTCATATAATCTGTCATGTTTAACTATTAACTTACCATTGGAACCAAGCGTAGAAGTTTGTCGGGGATGTGAAAGATGGATGGTTTAGCACCAGAGCAGAGAACTTTATCATTTGATAATTGTAAAAAGTGCACCTCCCTCAAATCTATAACCTGCTCCAGCAAAATATGGTCAATATTTTGTCTCAATATTCTGAATTAATAATTGCATTTGAATTATTTGACCTACTCACCACGTCCGGAGTAATATAAGAACCAGGATCTCCAATCTCATAAAGGAGCTGCTCAGCACAGGTCCTACA